GCGTACATAAGCGGAATCCAAAAATGTAGATTGATTACTTTTTTCGCAATGCTTTAAAAATAGAAGTAAAATAATCTAATTTAGTCGGATTGCGTCATTAACGAATATTTGCTCGATCTCTTTTGCTGGTGAGATGCATTTGCTTTTTTTTTTTTGCCTTCAATGAGACCTAAATATTGGTAGTAAACTTCTTAACTTCTTTGTTTACCACATAGGTATCTTTATTTTAGGGAATTTTGAGACATGCCCGAAACATTCTCCAATTCTGAGTTCCGTTGGATTACCTTTGGCAAAAAGGTCCCTCCATACATATTTACGTCGTATAAGATATAATTACTTGGAAAGGCACCAATCTATTACCAAGCTCAACAAAACATGCACTCCACATTCCATTTGTTCGTTATGTTCTTAGCTTAACACGGGGAAAACCCACGGGAAAAGAAATGTTTTAAACTAGATGGCCCAAATTATATCTCCCAATGTTTTACACCTCGTGCTCGCCTGAATAATGTAAATTTCACAGGACGCCAAGGTATGAACTGTATATAATTTATCTATTTTTACATACTCTTGAGCTATATATATATATATAATATTGGCATATGCATAACTCACATTATATCTTGTTTTGTATTTTTAGTTTGTCGAGTGTTTTTAACATAAGCCCTGGCTCGGAAGATTGTGCATGCACCTTCTACGTCTTCGACAATAAATATTATATTACTTTGTTCATTTAACAAGAATAATGGAATATCTGTTTTACATATTGTCATTTATCAATTCCACTTGTCATTTTGCTTTTTCTCACCGCGAGATATTTTTCATTTCGGTAGAAACTTCGTAAGTTATTCAGCCAAAGCTTGTTGCCGTTAACAGATGTTCCTCCTTTCAATTTCAGCTCGGCAAATAGAATTCTAATTTTCAGGCTAGCTTAGATCTCTCTGTTTCTAAAAAGTATGAAGGATAGACGTGTTTTTATTGAGTCGCAATTCGACAAGATTCAATCGGAAAATGAAGTTTTAGCCCCTTCGCTCTTAAACAAAATTTAGAAGGGAATTTTACAGCGATTATTCGATATTACGGAAGTCCATTGAAATCCAGTATCACAGCTAAAGTTCTGATCGTGATTGATAATAGATGATTCGTTGACCGTGGCAAATGTACGTAAGCGGAAGTTGGTAACCAAAGCACAAACGGAATAAACACAAGCAATATAATTCGCATCCCTAACAAACATATCTTCTTGAGTGATCTTATAAATCTTGTTGACTCAACGGAAGCTAAGTTATCGATATCATTTGCTGGTAGCATTCCTTCTCGTCTAACTGGTTCGAGAGACCTAAAACGGTTTGTATGATTTTCTTAGCTTTCGTGCCTCTAATAAGATTACATCTTTTCGCTTTCATGCTTTCATACTTGTTTGAATTACTCCCTGCATTAATAATCAAATCTTAAAACATATCTCATTCGGTTACCAACATCCATCATCAAAAAGTGCATACTGCGTTCCCATTTGTTTCGCGAGATGTCCATAGCACGACATTACCGAGGGCTATAGGAAGTAAGTGGCAAATAACCTCAGCTCATAACAGAGGAAAAAGATACAAAGAGAACCGTAGTACAAAGTTCCAATGAAGTTGATATGAATATTGGGATCCTTGTTTAACCTTTAACAAATGATTCATTCTACCCTCTTTGGTCGCTGTAATATATTTCGTTGTAAACAGATATTCTTTCCTTATAATTCAGCACTGTAATTTCCAATTGTATCCTCAAGCTTAAGCTTTCTTTTTCTTAACTGTTTAATGGATAGGTGTATATTTCCAAGAGTCGCAATTCGACCAGACCTCTGAAACAGAGAACAGAGAATAGTTGCTGGGACTAAAGCTTACATAAATCTTGTTTAGAAGAGTAAATTCTGGCTTTCCCAAATTCATTGTGCTAAACTTGAAGTTGGCAAATGTTGATTTAAGAAGCTTCTATATAGAAAAGAATTTAAATCATGTTTAACAAAACAGTTTAAAACATAGATATTTAAGCTTTGTTGTGAATGGGGTATTAGATGCATGGGAATGAAATGATGACGCAGTAGGCGAATTATAAAATTTGACGCAAACCTGCATTCCAAATATTCTTCCTCCTAAATAAACTAACAATCATGAGAATGAATAAACGGCTCCTCAAAAATCATTATTACTAATCCATTCATGATTCACTATTAGCAATTAAAATTTAAAGTGCTACATTGAAACCTCAAGCATCTTTTATAATCGTTGGGTGGCAACGGCTTTAAACTCTTAGCCCTTATCCATCGGATAGTGAGGTTCTACGAGCAGGTAAATATATTAAAAAAGGGAAAATTTTCCACATGTAAAAAGTAATTTGACATAAATAAAAGGTTAAGTTGCACTTTACCAGCCTCAAAATGTGTTATTAGTCTTAAGGCGTCCATTTTTAGGACAGCTGCTCGAAGGAAACCTTTGTGAGCAAGGATCGTCGGCTATCAGAAAATTTAAAATCAATTCAGTCATGATTCAGAAAAAAAAAATTAATCATTTCACGCACACAGGAAAATGTTGATATTATGACGAGCCGCCTTACCCGGGACATTTTTATAACAAAAGACGCTTTTTGATATGGTATGTTGCCGCTCCTACTTGTTTTGTCTAAGTGTGAGCTTGGGTCTTGAAATAAATTTATCGCATGAACTTTTCTTTACCTAGGGACATTTTTATAACGAAGGACGCTATTTAAGACGGTACGTTGCTGCTTCCATCAAGTGAGATTGTGTCTTGAACTAATTTTATCTCATGAAAAAAGATTATGTAAATCAGAAATTCATACGGAAATCCTAATGACACATTTGAAAAACCGCTCTTGTCTCCCCAAACCTGGACAAAATTCGTTTAGTAACGAAGATTAATTAATTACAAAGATATTTAAGCTGTTCTTTACATTGTCAGACTTGATAGGTGTGGTGTCCAAACAAGCAAATTTATAACATAGCTAGTAAATTTGTCTAATCAAATTCAATTGCGTGAGCGTGCTTCATTTACTCGAGATAGCTCATCATAATTGTGCATAAGCAAAAGGGGGGATCAAGTTCAAAATACTTTATTCAAACCATGCGTTCGGTCAAAACAACCGCGTACGATCAAAACAATAATATAGAATGATATTTAAACATCTTTAAGGCGCAAAAAAGTTCAGAGTCCGGCTAAACAGTTCAAGGAATTGTTCAGTTTAGTTTGTTACTTCTTTGCACCGAGTAAATCACGCAATGAGATTTTAACGCTGCCGTTAATCTTCATAAGTCTTCACAAATCTCACTTTTTCCTTGCATAGTATGGGATAAACTTACAATTCGAGAAGACGAGACTAAATTGGGTTACGCGGTTGAAATAGAAAAAAGCCAATAAATAAACGAACATATATATATGTTATTTGCCGGCTGGGAGGTCCGTATGGTGAAAAACTGTGACCGAGGTCTCGAAAATATTGCCCGAGGCCGTAGACCGAAGGCAGCTTTTTCGAGACCGGGGTCACAGTTTTTCACCATACGGACCGACCCTTAGCCGGTAAATAACATATTTATTGTTTTTAAACTTGACAAAATTCTTTCCGAAAGAACCCGAATGATTTATGGCCGTAAATACGGCAAGATCTTCTATAAACTGAACAATTTTTGAGTGAGTAAATGGTAGTTGAAATACAGGTAATGCAAATTTAAGAGAGAGCCTCAGCGAAACATTTTCATTTCCGTAACGATAAAGGTGATTTAAAAGGCTTCCAAACAAACTTTGAAACATTATTTTTACAAGTATCTGTCACAATCTGACACCTGTCAATTAGAGAGCGCGCAAGAAAAGAAAAAAAAAGCGTAGGAACATTTGAAAACCAACAGAACTAGTTTGGCAAGGACTGTCACGACAATGTTTTCTTAAAAATCAGTCAATGATCTAACGGAAAGTATAATTCACTCTCATCGACCATTCATTCATGTACGAAGATTTACCTCTGTTCATTAAGTGAACGGCGAGGAAAGTAATTGTGAGTAAATTCACTTTTTTTATTTTGAAGTTGTGAGAGTTTGCTCGTTTTGCTGTAATGGCGTGTTTAGCTCTGGTCTTTCCTTCACAAAAACTAAATTCGAACGGCACACTCCAACGAGACACAAGGGAATTTAATGCGGCCTTTCCTCAAAAAATTCCTTCAATTTCTGTTGTGCAATTTACGGTACAAATGTCCAAATTGAACGGAATTGGAAAGACTCACCGGGAGCGTATATTTGTTGTAGAACTTAAATTAAAACTTCGCTCGCTCTTTCACTATGAACAAATTGCTCGAGAAAATTCAGATATTGAGTGAATGAAAGTTCCATCGTTCAGTTTAACTGTAACCAAATACCTTACGTTTCAACTTTCTGGGCACTTTTTGAGAACGATTAAAATTAATTGCAGATGGGTTTTAGGCCGCTTGTCAACCAACGTAATGACACTATTGTTTATACAAATTTATTCTGAAACCAATATTTTTCTGTCAACCAAAGTGATTTGATAGAGAGAAAAGAGAGGATTCATAAGTTATTTATCAGCTTGAGGTAGTGACCGACGTGTTTGCTTAAAAATACTGCCCGCCGGAAAACGAGGTATATTTATGAAAAATTACAACGAAAGTTGGGATGTACTCGGCGACTCACGAAAGCGTTACCTTGGCCCGTGGGCAGAGATAGGAAAATACTGACCGGGTAAAGAACCAATCAGATTGCAAGATTCGTTACCGTGCCCTCTAAAAAAACAATAAAAATGAATATCTAGATAAATGATCAGAAGTATATTCACAAACTCTGAGAGCGAATTATTAAAGACGCGGATGATGTAATTGGGGAAAGGGGAACAACCATTATTTTCACCTTGTTAATGTTCATCTCTGTTCATTTATTTGTTTATTCATTTACTCAATTATTTGCTCTTTCATTTCTTTTATTTTCAGAAGGTGCTATGTTAAACTCAGAGCTACCAAGTCGAAGCTTACCTGTTGTCATAACTGAGGCAAGTGTTTGTATTGCATTGTGCATCATAAGCGTCATTGGAAACAGTCTGGTTTGTATGGCAACATGCAGAAACTCAAACCTGCGATCAACCACCAACCTGTATATCATTGCTTTAGCTGTCAGCGATCTGCTGTGTGGAATAGTACAGATGCCGTTAACTTCTGCCACGCTGATCATCGGAAGATGGGTCTTTGGCGACGCCCTATGCCAGTTTGAAGGCTTTGTTTCCGTATTTACCTATTATGTTACCCCAGCAACCCTTGGTTTGACAGCGTTTAACCGTTACATGAAAATTGTAAAGACAAGCCATTACAAGAAGATTTTTTCGCCCCGCAGATCTAAGATATGGTTGAGTTTCTTGTGGCTTTCCTTTGCACTTTACCTGCTGATTGTCCGTGTCACAAATTGGGTTAAAATCGATTTTATTCAAGGCTACGCAGTGTGCTCCTTTGATTACCCAACAAGTGAAAGTCAAATCTTTCATTATTGCATCACTGTTGGATTACTTTTTGTCTTACCGTTGTGTGTTGGCATTTTCAGTTATTATAAGATATTTCTGAAAACCCATGAGCATCAACAGAATGTGGTGTCATCGCTACGGAACTGTACTGACAATACTGCAGTAAGCAACACAGTGAAAGACATAAAGTTTACTCGAATGTTGATCCTTGTGGCAGCAGGATTTATGTGTTGCTGGATACCAATGTGGGCACTTGTCCTCTGGTTTCGTTTTTCCCCTGAGACCAGCTCAAGAATTACAGCATTGCTTGTCACTTTTTTATTTTATTTGAGTGCTTCAATCAATCCTATTATTTACGCTTTCACAAATGGCGAGTTCCAAAGGGAATTTCGAAAACTGCTCTGTTGCCGCCGTGAAAGGTCAAGAATTGTGCTAAAGAAAGCTGCTGCGTTTACTAGTAACGACCTCGTCGAACGAGAGGAACAAGAAGCAAACTTTTAAGTCCAATGAATTTGTGTTAATGAAACATCCTCTTTTGAAAACAGGAAAGAAAAGTTATTCCATTTTTTTTTCTAATTTAGTTATTGTTTGTCAAAGCAAGCTTCTTAGATGTCGAAAGCTGTGTTGCTCGCACCAATCAATTATAAATTATTTATGTGATTTCTCCTTGCCAAATGCTGAGAGAATGACATCAGTTCACTTTTAAATTTTGGATGAGTTGCGAGTACAAATTGAATAGATTTTACCATTCCTGCGATGAAATTGTGAGGAACCTAATTGGAATACCAAATTGAATGATCTGATGGCAAGCAAAGATCGTTCCTTTTGCTTCTTCGGACTTTTCTATTTAAACGTCAACGCTTTTGTCATAATTGGTTAGTTAAATTTAATTAGAAGTGAATTTTATTAGACTTTCTGTTTGTGAACAGCCAGCCACTAAAGCAGAATAACTTCCCCTGAGTTTCTCTTTCTGATGCCTGTGATGTAATCAGCAAATTACTTGCGATACTCGAACATAAGATTTTTTCTAAACTCATATTAAATTAGCACATAATGCTTTTAGTTGATTGGAGGTGACGCTCTGTCGTTTATGAAAAACTACGAGATGACCAGAAAAGCGGAGAGAGGTATGAAAAATAACTTATATTGCGAACTTAAAGTGATGATATGTGCAAAGCAACGTTTTTCTGGGAGGAAATAAATAGAATTTGAAAAAGAAGCCAGCAAAGGATAAAACTTGGCGCCTACAGCTGATAACAATATTAATGACGTAACAGTGATAAGAAATAGCTCGCAACGATACCTGCAAGACTTTCTACGTCGACGAAACAGTTCCTGAGTGTATTTTAAGATGGAAAACATGTTAGAGGGAGATTTTATTGGTCAAATGTCAAATATAACTGCTTAGGACCCCTGTAGATGGCCTAAAGGTTTCGTGCGCCCTCCCCATTTTTTGTCCGTTTTTCAAGGTTAGGCATATTTACTTTATATCATAGTGTTGCCCTTTATCTTTTGATTTTTTCTTGTCGTTGTCGTTGTTGTTGTTGTTGTTTTTTTTTTGTCAAATTTCGAATTTTTTGTTAATTTTTTTTAATTTTTAATATCATTTGCATCTATTTTTCTTATTTTAAAAAAGTGAAGAAATGAGTGCGCCCACTGCAAGACATTATTTCTCCAAACTGATGTAAGGGTTAGAGCTGAAATTTTATGGGGATTTAGAATAAAGTTGTACATCTGCGCAATGTAAAATACTTCTCTTAACCTTATATTTTGTGCAAGATATTCTTATCTATATTTCGGTGCGCTCTCCCTAATTAGCTTATTATTCGAAAGTCATGTTTAAGCGTTTTTTTTTTTTTTTTTTTTTTTTTTGTCGATTCAACGAAAAGGATTGTAATAATAAAATTCTTACTGGCGCAAAGTTAAGCTTTTGGGCTTTATTGGGATGTAATTTTTATTTAGTCTGGTTAAGGTTGTAAAAGAATGAAGAGTCACATACCTTTACAACTTTTTATGGAAATTTGGTCTCACTTTTGCCCTTAATTTCTCAAAGGTGCACGCTCCTTGAAAGTTTCTAATGATATTGACCAATGTATCTTATCGATGGTGCCTAGTTTGAATAAACTGATATAAAGTTAAATTTTAATGTAATCATATACATACCGTATCAGAACCGAAACCACCAACACCCATCCTTCCCATAGGAAAAAAAAAACCAGAACCTGGTAATTTCTACGAATAAGAAAATATACGAATGCACGCCTTTTATTAAGACTCCATTCACACCAGCAAAAAATGTTTAATTTGAACGGGATTTAGCATGATGAAATTCAGACACGGAGAACTGAAAAACTGAACTTTCAATAGTATTTAAGTAATCGCTGACTTGTAATTTCATTGTGCTAAACTTGAAGTCGACAGATGTTGGTTTAAGATTCTTCTATGAAGAAAAAAATTTAAATCGTGTTTAAGAAAACTGCTTAAAACATTTTTAAGCATTGTTGTGAATGGGGTATTAGTTGCATGGGAAGGAAATGATGAAGCAGTAGGCGAATTAAAAAGTTTGACGCAAACCTGCATCCCAAATACGCTTTCTCCTAAATAAACTCACAATCTTCAGAATGAATAAACGGCTCATCAAAAATCATTATCACTAATCTATTCATGATTCCCTGATAGCAATTAAAATTTCAAGTGTTATGTTAGAGCCTCAAGCATCTTTTTTAATAGTTGAGTGGCAATGGCTTGGAACTCTTGGCCCCTATCCATCGGATAGTGAGGCTCTATGAGTAGGTAAACTCCACATGTAATAAATAATTTAACATAAATAAAAGATTAATTTACACTTTACCAGTCTCAAAATGTGTTATCAAGGCGTCAATTTTTAAGACAGCTATACGCAAAGAAAACCTTAGTGAGTCCCGCGAGGATCGTCGGTTGTCAGAAAATTTAAAGTCAATTCATTATAACATAGCTAGTAAATTTGTCTAATCAAATTCAATTGCGTGAGTGTGCTTCATATTCCTATTGTGCACGTTCATGACGTCAGCAAAAAAAATCCCTCGAGAAAAAAATTTTCTCCGCAATTTTTACTATTAAAGAACTGGTTAAGACTTCGGCGGTAATTTAAGCTAAACATGGAAACAAGATCGTTTACAGCGTAGCGAAATGTTTTCCTGAAACAAAATTATCAACGCACTGAAGCGTAGCAGATGGAATGTTAAACCTTTTACAACATTTAAACCATTGGGTTGGAAATGTTCAAGAAGCTAGAGTTGCTCTCGGTTACGCCTAAAGCAACTCATAGGCATCTTTTATGCTCTCCAAACTTCCCGTGTGCTTCATATCTCGATGAAGGCACGCTGACGTATGAACCAATTGTTATTTTTCACAAGTATACCACTCGCAGTTCAAATATATGACTGAGTAAAGTAGTGAAACCCCACATGTACATTTATTTATCAATTGCTCTCGCCATCTTTGCGGAGAGTCATTAAGCAACATATGCACCGCACTTTCTATCGTTTTACCAAAATAATAACCAACTTGAAATGTTTGGAGAACTGTGCTACTGGTAAGTTTGTGAATCACTCGCCTCTTGTGATTAACAACTTTTGGAGTGTTTTCCCAACGTTCCGAGTGGGGTATTATGCTGGTAAACCGACAGAAAGTGTGTTTTTTGCTTTTATAAAATAAACTTAAAACAAAACATATGGTATTTCAAATTTCTTTGGGTTACCGATGCAATAAACGATAGGTTTCTGACCAATCTCGTTTATTTATAAAGCCTGTTACACAACAGTCTGGGAAATGTTGCAATAAAAAGTGTTGGATGAACGAATGTTTTCAGGCCTTAGGCAAAAACAGTAATCCATTAGTAGTTGTGTCTTTCAGACCTATTGCAAACAGCTTTCTCCCTCACCTGCAGCTCTCACTTTTTTTATGTGAGAAAAGAATAAAAAGGGCGTCGATTTTGTACGTATTGGAAAAGACAAGTATAAAGCAACCTATAAAGGAGCCTAATTTTCTAAAGAAACTGGGGTGCTGCGACGGCGGGGAAAAGCTGACGTTTAACCGGCTTTAAGAACATCTCTCTCGATTCTGTGTATGAACGCTGGAAGTTACATAGACCTTCTATGAAAACAGTTTTAAGTAAGGGAGGATACGACGACTATTCAATAAAAAGATTGCTTTTAATTTTAAACTGATCAATAAAACCTTCATTTATCCATGATTCTATCTGTTCACACTGAATTCAGGGTAGACTGAAAACGCAGAAGAGTTTCAGAAATAGAATGACATATCTTGACACTTCTCTTAATGATGCCCCAACCGAAGGCAATAAATGATGACCGTTTTGTGCATAATCCAACACGTTATTTTTCTTAAGTCAACTTTATTAAGACGTTGTCAAAATATCTTTTTGAGCCCATATGCATTGTTAAAGATTTGTTAAGAGAAAGGATAATTTTCAAAATTTAGCTTGAAAGCTTGCATGGACAGCCTAAGTTTTCGATCGATTTCAATTCAAGCGAAACGTTGAATTACTAAAATAATTTGTCTAGGCCACAAAAGTGTGAAGGAAACCCTATAAATGATAGGCAATTATAAACTTAAATTATATATGCAAATTAACGTCCTTCTGTAACAGGAAAAACATAGAGATACGGAAAAAATATAAAAGTAATATGAATTGGCGCCTTCAGCTGATATGTCCGATCCAAGCTTCACGAGAAGTAAATGTGGAAACAAACTAGTGGAACTTTTCGGCAGACTGGTGTTAACGACAATAATAACAATGATAATATTAACAATGATGCAGAAAACGATGATTATGACTGTAATCATAAAATAGCAAAACAGGAACAAAGAAACAGAGAAAACAGGTTTGACGGCTTACGTTTATCTTCAAACGTTCGCTTTTCATCAATACTGTTTCTAATTTGAATAAACTGTAAGTAGTTACTTGCGCCTACATCAACAAAATACTCATTACATGTACATAGTATATGGATAGCTTGTATCTGTGGGCGATTAAAAAAAAGTATCCGTTGGTTGCAAAGGGAGACAATACAACTGTAAAAGTTTAAAACTCGAACGGAAATATTAAATATGTTTATTTTTTCTGTTGGGCAATACCTTGCGGTTTGGACATACAGAAGAATTGGAAACGCATGCTAAATTACACAGCTGTATTTTACCTACAAAATGAAAAAGAAAAAAACAGAAAAAAAGGTAGTATGAGATTCTCTAGCAATACAGTCACTCGATCAGGAACGATTATTTAGCTGATAGAAATGCGTAAGCATTATACGAGTTACCAGTATGACGTTTTATATTCAGTGTGTTCTTCACTTGTCGTTAGGGTTGAAATATGATGGTAGTATTCAAAGCAATTACATGTTAAGGAAGTAATGTGATTGTAACGCTACCATTAATCTTCACACGTCATAAACCTCACTGTTCCCTTGCTTGGTATTGGATAAACTTACAATTCAAGAAGACGAGACTAAGATGGGTCACACGATTAAAAGACAAAAAGCCACTAAATAAACGCGTATATAAATAATAACTAGATAGATGATTACAAGTAGATTTCGACAGTTCACAAACCCTGAGAGCGAATTAAAGGTGCGGGTGATGTAGTTTGCCGGGAAATGGGAAAAGCCAATATTTTCATTTTGTTAATCATCATCTCTGTTCATTTATTTGTTTATTCATTTACTCAACTATTTGCTTTTTAATTTCTTCTATTTTCAGTGCTATGTTAAGCTTAGAGCTATCAAGTCGAAGCTTATCTGCTGTCATAACTGAGGCAATTGCATGCGTTTCATTGAACATCACAAGTATCATTGGAAACAGTCTGGTTTGTATAGCAGCATACAGAAACACAAACCTGCGATCAACCACCAACCTGTATATCATTGCTTTCGCGGTCAGCGATCTGCTGTGTGGAACAGTAGAGATGACTTTAGCTTCTGCAACGCTAATCATCGGAAGATGGGTCTTTGACGACGCTTTATGCCAATTTCAAGGCTTTCTGAATATGTTCACCTCTCACGTGACCCCAGCAACACTTGGTTTGACAGCAATTAACCGCTGCGTGAAAATTGTAAAGACAAGCCATTACAAGAGGATTTTTTCACCCCGCAGATCTAAGATATGGTTGAGTTGCTTGTGGCTTTCTCTCGCACTTTACCTGTTGATTGCCCATGCCACAAATTGGGTTAAAATCGATTTTATTCAAAGCTAAGCAGTGTGCTCCTTTAATTACCCAACTAATGAAAGTCAAATCGTTCATTATTCCATCACTGTCGGATTACTTTTTGTTTTACCGTTGTGTGTCGGCATTGTCACTTATTATAGGATATTCCTGAAAACCCATGAGAATGTATTGCCATGTTTTTCTTTTATCTAAGCGCTGCAATCAATCCCATTATTTACGCCTTTACAAATGGTGAGTTCCGCAGGGAGTTTCGCAAACTGCTCTGTTGCCGCCGTGAAAGGTCAAGAATTGTGCCAAAGAAAGCTGCTGCGTTTACTACCAACGATCTCGTCGAACGAGAGGAACAAGAAGCAAACTTGTAAGTCTAGTGAATTTGTGTAAGTAAGACATCCTCTTTTAAAAACAGGACAGAAAAGTTATTCCATTCTTTTTCATCTTTTTTATTACGGTTGCTTTTTTTTAATTGCTGTTTCTTGCTGTTGGTCGGTTTTGTTTTGTTTTCTACTATGCTTGAGCTCAGATTTATCAGAAAATAAATGGAATTGAGTAGTTTCTTTTGAGGTGCTGATTTAGTTATTGTTTGCCAAAGAAAGCTTCTTAGATGTCGAAAGCGATGTTGCTCGCACCAATCAGACCGCACTGTCTAATATTATAAACTATTTATGGTGACTTCTCTTTGCCTAGTGCTGAACACGAGAAGACGACATCAGGAAAGGATTGTGAGTACGAATTGGATAGATTTTGCTATGCGTGCGGTGAAAATACAATGAACTGAATTTGAATACTAGATTGAATAATCTGATAGCAAACACGATATAAAAGCTTTAAGTATAACCTTTTGCTTCTTCGGAATTTTTTATTTATAACGTCAAAGCTTTTGTCCTTAACTGGGTAGTTTCAGATCCAAGGGCATGATGGTTAAAAGGAAAATAAATTAATTTTCTTCGACTTTCCGTATGTTAACAGCCAGCTTCTAAAGCAGAATAACTTTCCCCTGAGTTTCTCCTTCTGATGCCTGTGATGTAATCAGCAACTTATTCGCTATCATCGAACATAGATTTTTTTCTAAACTCATAACAAATTGGCAGAAATGCTTTTACTTGATTAGAGGTGACACCCAGTCGTTTATGAAAAACTACAAGAGGACCAGAAAAACTCCAGTTCGCAAAGAAAAAAAATGAAAGTTGCGGTTGAAAGAGTGCAATAACCTTTGGAGATATTTCACCCAACCATTTCCGTGAATAATTTTCCATATGCGCGCTTTCATTTGCAACCATGATTACAGCATAATTAATAGCCGCCTACTAAGAACGTTATAGGATATTTCGGAATCAGTTTCAGAAGTCTTTTACACTTAAAAAAGAATCAAGAGAACGGAATTGATGCTCTCTGGGGTAATTGCTTTTTTTTTCTTTTACTGAGGCACTCCTACCACTCATCTGTCATGGATAAGTGTGAATACATTTTGTAAACGCTTTCGGTGGAACATGGGACGCCGAGATAAACCAAAGGTTAAAACATTTTCGTCGGAAAACGTCCTTCAAAGACTTCAGATGCCGGCTGTTAGAGCTCCAAGTTCTATGCCCTTAAAGATGTATGCCGTAAAAATACATATAGGAATAACTGTTATTCAAGTCAAGTCCTCAACTATATATATCTTGTTTGCCAGACTTTAAAATTCCCTTTTACTTCTAGAAAGACACTAACTTATATGGACTGAAATACAGACTTTCTTAACACAAATCAATATCAGTTTGATGTAGACAAGTTGATTCGCCTGGTTCAAAGCTCTGCAGCCAGGTTATAAATTTACGAATGAAATGCTCTTCTAACATCGACATAGGCAAATTTGAGCATAGACAACGTTGAAGTAGGAAAAAGGATACGACCATTGACTAAGCGATATTCCCTAAAGAGAGGTATAAAAAATAACTTTTATTTAGAGCTTTAAAGTTATGATATGTGGTGAAAATAAATAGAATTTGAAAAAAGAAGCCAGCAAAGAGTTAAAAATTAGCGCCTGACAATATCAATGACGTAACAGTGCTAATAATAGCTCGCAACGATACCTGCAAGACTTTCTACGTCGACGAAATAGTTCCCGAGTAGATTTTGAGATGGAAAACATGTTAGAGGGAGATTTCGTTCGTCAAACGTCAAACATAATTGCTTTGGACTCCTGTAGATGGCCTAAAGGTTTCGTTTTTTAAGGTTAGGCATATTTACTTGATATCATAGTGTTGCCTTGTCTTTGTGATTACGATGGTGTGTTTTTCGTTTTTGTTGTTGTTTTTTTTTTTTTTTTTTTTTGTCAAATTTTATTTTTGCATATCGTTTGCATACATTTTTCATATTTAAAAAAAAAGGGTGAAATGAGTGCGCCCACTTTAAGACATTATTTCTCCGGACTGGTATAAGGGTTAGGGCTGAAATGTTTATGGGGATCTAAAATAAGAGTTGACAAGATTTGTGCAATGTAAAGTACTACTCTTAACCTCATATTTTGTGCGAGATATCAGTTTTCGATATTTCGGTGCGCTCTCCCTTCTTCACTTATTATTCGAAAGTCATGTTTAAGCGGTTTTTTTGTCCATATAACGAAACGGATTGCAATGAAAATCATATTGGCGCAAAGTTAAGTTATTAGGCTTTATTTAGGTGTGATTTTTATTTAGTTTCTAAGGTGGTAAAATAATAAAGAGTCACATATCTTAACAATGAAATTAAGAGATCCTCACAGCTAGGAACACTACTAAAATGAGTAGTTTTAAATAGGACCTGAAAAAAATTCAGGCTCGTACGGGAATTGAACCCATGACCTTTGCGATACCGATGCAGCGCTCTACCAATGGAGCTAACAAGCCATCTGGGAGCTGGCCAATGAATTGGGTCCAATTAAACATCCAAGTGAATGATGATTTTGGATATATGAAAATTCATACATTTGCACTGCGGTGGAGAAATGAAATTAAGAGATCCTCGCAGCTAAGAACACTACTGAAACGAGTATATATATAATATATATATATATATATATATATATATATATATATATATATATATATATAGGAAGTCTGCAAGTCGATTTTCGCGTGGAACAGTGCTCAATACGTTGAAGCAGAGCAGAATAAATATTATGAGAGGAAAAAACGACGCAACTACATATCCCGACAAGCCTGTTTCGTGAATCGCTTCACTCTTTAGGGGTTTAAACCCCTGAAGAGTGAAGCTATTCACGAAACAGGCTTGTCAAGATATGTAGTTGCGTCGTTTTTTCCTCTCATAATATATATATATTCATATATCTAAATTTTGACCAGCTCCCAGTTGGCTTGTTAACTCAATTGGTAGAGCGCTGCACCGGTATCGCAGAGGTCATGTTCCCGTACGGGCCTGAATTTTTTTTTTCAGGTCCTATTAACCATTAATCGTTTCAGTAGTATTCTTAGCTGCGAGGATCTCTTAATTACATCTCTCCACCGCAGTGCAAATATAGGAATTTTTATATATCTAAAATCATCATATCTTAGCAACTTTTTATTGAAATTTAGTCTAGCTTTTGCTATTAATTTCTAAGGGTGCATGCTCCATTTACCTTGAAAGTGTCTACTGATATTGACGAATGTATTGACTAAACAGCCGTGTAAATTGTGCCTAGTTTGAATAGATTGACATAAAGTTAAATGTGGTTAAAAAGGAGGCTTTGGTTCCCTGATCCCCCCCTTGTCGTATCAAATGACAAGAATGTTATCCTGAGATCTGAGAGAATTCGTGGGGCACTCCCCGGAGGTTCTCTACTCCAGCTCGTGTTTAATCCCTGACAAAACTCAAGGACCTTCTGGGGGTATCATCGATTAACCAGCTCGACTCATTTTTGCTAGGATGTTTACATCTATAGAGCGGTTTAATAATTAAAGTTTTAAAATATTTACAATTCTATGTACAGCAGTATTTGCAATAAATAAAAGATGTAATTGAGCGGTTTATAAGACAATTCTATCTACGTTGAGGGCTGCAGAGGTCAGGATTTATTTGAAGGCCTGCCTCCTTCAGAAAAAGTTTTTAACTTTTTAATAGCACCTGACCTCTCTCTCCTGGGCCAGGATGTGTTTTAACGCATAATCTTCCCGAAACAAATAGCATTGTCCATCGTCCTTAAAGAATGAGTGGTCCTCTTCTTCCTGGTCAAAGTGAGGCCTGATGTTACTGGTGTAGATTGACATCCACCTGTGCAGCGTCTTATCTGCCGGACCTTGGTGGTTCGTTGTCTTGTGATGGTCGACAAGCAACGTCCACATCTTTGTGGCCATAAGGGAAACTGCCTGGTCGAAACGCTGCACAAGCGCGTTCTCCAGTGGCCCAGGTCGAGATGCAGCTGTCCCTTCTGTAGATGGTGTCCATGTCCTCTGCTTGGAGAAACTAAAATGTTCTGCGTACTTAAATTTCATAGACAACCTTGACCAATTGACAGAAGTTATATCAAATTATTCTAAATTTAAATTGTTTCCTTAACGTTCAAACAACCATTGGACTTAATAAGACCAAGTCGCATTCTGTTAGTGTGAGAGAGATTCATTGGAAGTGCATTTTTCGAGCTAGTTTTAGCCTTACACCCAGTGATTTGACGTGGGGGTTCTAATACCTCAAGGATTAGCCAGGAACCCGAACTACTTTGGATTCTTGAATAATTCATTGACCCTCACAAACTGTGAAAGTTTGAAAGAAATCGGTGAAATGGCATGTATCACGCCTGCCTGGTCCTCACGTGGACAGTTTCTTAAGCCATTAATTCACCTATATGTTTACTTATTAGTTGTTTTTGTTGATTTTATTTTGTGTAATCAGTTGGTAAATGTCAGACCTAGAGCTGCCAATACGAAGCTTAGCTGCTGTCATAACTGAAGCAAGTGTATGTGTTACTTTGAGCGTCACATGCATCAACCGAAACATTCTGGTTTGTATAGTAGCATACAGAAACACAAAACTGCAATCAACTACCAACCTCTATATCATTGTTTTAGCAGTCA